GTCAAGTTGTAAGAACAAAGATCATCTTCGACTGGTTCCCATTCTTTTAAGCTCAATGATCTGCTATATTCCTGTTACTCTGTTGCTAACACTAACAGTTCAACAAGGAAACACGATGGACAAGAAGCTAGGGAGGATACATATCTCTCCAGCATCGCTCTTCTTGATCCCTATAACCTTCCAAATGATAATCTTATTTGTTTACGACTGTTTCATTGCACCTTTTGCTCGAAGGCTCACGAAAGATAGGTCTGGCATCTCAAACTTGAAACGTATTGGGGTGGGCTACTTCACAACTGCAATTTCAATGTGTCTGGCTGCTATAATTGAGAAGAAGAGGAAGCACGTGGCTATTAAGCATGGTATGGTGGAGGCCACCACTGGGATCCCCATGTCTGTGTTTTGGCTAGTATTGCAATGCTTTGCAGTGGGGATTTATGATGCAACTAGCTTTGTGGGGCTGTTGGAGTTCTTCAATAGTGAAGTCTCCAAGGGGATGAAGTCATTGGGCACTGCAATTTTCTGGTGCACTCTTGGTTTGGGATCTTTGTTGGGTTCATTTCTTATTCATTTAGTCAATCAGTGCACTAGGTACTCTCAAGGTAAGGGGTGGTTAGGGGGCAACAACTTGAACAAAAATCACTTAGATAGCTTTTATTGGCTCCTTGCACTGATAGGGCTCATTAGCTTTATCAATTATCTTTGGTGGGCTATGAGATACTCATCTAGACGTTTCCCTACTAGGGTTTAAGTTGGTAAAGGCTCTGCATTGTGTATTTTTTTTAAGTTCTTTCTCTTATTCTGGAATATGCTGTGAAGTTTTTCATTGTATATAGAAATTTAGGCTTTCATAAGAGTTTACGAATTTCTTCTATTTTCATTTTTATTTATTTTATGACTCTCTTTGGTCAGTTCATTACATAAGAAAGAAAATCTCTCTAATGAGAAAATCACTCTAAGGAAGGATAGCCATCGACTCGACATAATGCTATTGCTTATGAGAATTACTTGTGTACTATCTAAGACGTGCTTGAATTCTCCATGCAATGAATAAAAGAAAATGAAAAATAAAATAGAAAAACAAAATGGACACTCACGCAATAATAAAATATTGTAATTTGTAAAGATCCATAGTTTAGCACCATAAGTCCTCTGCGGAGTATTAACCTTTGAGAGTTACATATGCTACCCCTATATTAGTTATGGTGAAACCCTAAACACCCTATGATACAGATGGATGTACTTTTATGACTTCTCTTATTAAACTACAACAATCTATAAATTGCCATGAACCTAAACAACAAGAGTAGTGATCTGCAACCAAATGTATCATTCTAGTTTGTGAAGTAGATTAGTAACACTGCACTCAAGTTTCAATTCCCAAAGTTGTACCAAAAGGTTGCTAAACCCAGCATTAATGTCAAGGAGGAGAATGGGGAAGAAATTCATGATGGGATATTAAACTCAAGTATCGTGAAGTCAATGAAGCAGTGGCTGATCAATAAATCATGCTCCAATCCTTATTGAGAGAAGTGCTATGTTATTCAAGCATGGATGATATCTTAGTTTGGGAGATAAATTCAAGTGGGAAGTTCTTTGTAAGAGCTTGGTATCTTAAAATTTTTAATCAAGAACAATGATGCCCATGCAAAGTGTTGTATATGCATGCTCCATTCCATTTCCATTTAAAACGAAGGCTAATTTTTTGATTGACAATCTAAAACGTAGCATTATCAATACAGCAATGGAGAAGAAGACATCTACCAATCACTGATATTTGTTTGATATGCATGTATAATGAAGAAACAAATAGGCTTTTTTTTTTGTATCGTTCTGCAGCTTCAAAGTCTTGGAATTGGATTCTAAATGCTTTTCGTCTTTCCCTAGTCTTGTCCCAACCAATTTCATGGTTCCTTGTACAGTGCATTTCAATACCTTTTCCAAATACAAGGGTGCTACTATGGTGCATCTTGGTGATGAAAATTATGTGGCATATTGTTTACAACGCAAAATTAGAGAAATCTTCAAATGAAGATTGTTAGTTCCAATAATAATAATAATAAATAAATAAAATAGAAATCGATAAAGAACTTACTCGGATTTGTCTTTAAATTACATGAGGGGCCTAAGGTTCTATACCAAATCCTATAGATCAAGCCATCTAGTGACAAACAACCTTGATAACCCTCTTTGGTGAATCTCATTCACCTCTTTTCTATCCTTCTCCCTCTTTTCTAGAGGGGTTAACATCATTTTATAAAGAACAGATTTATTTATTAACTCTCACATTCATGGTTTATAGGAGTTGAGATCCAAGTGTAACTCTTGCCTTAATTCCCTTAAGTGTAGCTAATTAGGATTAACAAGTTGTCACCAAGCTGTTAATCCTATGTAATGAGTTAAACCTTCTTTAGTCCACTAATGACTCATATAATAGGATGTCATCCGAGCATTCCCACAATTTGTAAAGAATTCAAACACACCATTGGGTTTTTCCTCTAGTGATATTGGGTTTTTTTCCTCTAGTGATACATTCTATTAAAGCTAAAAAATGGATCGATGTATATGGTATTGCCTCATGTTAACTACATGGGATTTCACATATACTTCAATATGGTTTTTGTACCATTATTGAAAAAATGAATTTTCAGGAGAAAAAGGGCCTGATAGGCCACATTTCCAAGAACTCTTACTTGGCTTGAAGGCCCTTTAACATCTTGTACATGACATTGCCTCATGCTTTCCACATAAGATTTTCATTTACTTAGCCAGTGTAGTCACATACCACTTTTAGATTTCCTGGCCTCCACAGCCTTATATTTGGCATTGCCTCATGCTACTTGCATGGGATTTCACATATACTCTGCTAATGTAGTCATACACCACACTCAGATTTTTTAGCCTCAATAACCTTATACATGGCATCGCTGCATGCTTTCTACATGAGATTTCACATATACCTTGCCAATGTGGTCAAACACCACACTTGAATTTCTTGACTTCAATGGTTTTATATATGGCATTGCCTCATGCTACTTGTATGAGATTTTTCATATAGCTTACCAGAGTGGTCATACACCACACTTAGATTTCCTGGCCTCAATAACCTTGTATATGACATTGTCTCATGCTACTTACATGAGCTTTCACATATACCCTGCCAATGTGGTCAAACACCACACTTGGATTTCTTGGCCTTAATGGTTTTATATATAGCATTGCCTCATGCTATCTGCATGAGATTTCTTATATACCTTACCAATGTGATCATACATCACATATAGATTTTCTGGCCTCCATAATCTTGTATATGGCATTGCCGCATGCTACTTGCATGAGATTTCACATATACTTTACCAATTATTCACCAATATGTTGAATTTTATTTACATCTATCTTTTAGCCAAGAAAAAAAAAAGGCCTATTGCTTTCGCTTGTTTATTAAACATATCGTCCACAACTGGTTTTTATGTCCAAAGCTCAGATTCGGATCATAGGTCAAAATAATAAAAACACTCATAATTTGACAAAATTGTTGGTATTATTATATACATAAAGAAATCTTTTAAGTGGTCTCAACCTTAACAACAACAAAAGAAAGAAATATAATATCACTTCTTTTTGACATGTTCCATGAGTTTCAAATTGATAATGTTATCAAACTATTTAATAATGGCCCCCACTATTCTGAATATGTAGTCATCATAATAACAAAAATTAGTCCAATATAGTTTAGCATCCTGCATCAGTAATTGCTCATTCTTAATGTGCGTTTATAATTATAGAGCTAACCCATTCAATTCTAATTTGGTAAATGATGATTTACTACCACTATCTAATGAAGAGTAACTTAAATTTTAAAAAAAAAGGATTGGACATTGATTTGCATTCATTCATGCTATTAAGATAAAATAGAATGTAATTTACCACAGAAGCTTTATAACTGAAACCTGCTAAATTTTAATTTAAGGCAATAAAGAACTTACCACAAAAGCTTTATAATTGAATCCTACCAAATTCTAATTTAAGGCAATAAAGAACTTACCTCAAAAGCTTTGTAATTGAAACTTACCTAATTGTAATTTAAGGTAATAAAAGCCTTACCACAAATGTTTTATAATTGAAATTTGCTAAATTCTAATTTAAGACAATAAAGAGCTTACCACAAATGCTTTGTAATAGAATTTGGGTAAATTATTCATTATAATATTATTTAAAATCCAGGTCATAAAATACTCTGAAAGCATGTAAAGATGATATGCTGGAAGGATTGTTGTGCCCGACACTTGATTTATATTATCAACATCATTCGCTACTCATGAGTGGAATAACCAAAAGACCCCTATAGAAGAAATAATGGATTCCTTTTTCTTTTTCTAATAGGTAAGAGAGAAGGAATTGTCCATGTGAGTTGCATGCTTTATTTATATATATATGAACAACTGGATAACACTGAAGGTAAGAAATACCAGGCTTTAGAACTTGAATTATCAGGGCATATGGTCCTAATAAATGTATTGACTGCAAGCATTATTCCCTGACATATATAACTTTACCTTTGTTTTATAGAAATGATCTTAAGATTGATAGGTTAAAGTCAAGAACTCAATTACCACTTAGCTATTAAACAGTCTGCATAATCATAAGTTCGCACATAAGTCTATTTCTAATTTATACAAGAGTAATCACATAAAAAATAAATCTATATGAATATTGTATGATGTCTCTAACAGTCGTTCAATCATGGTTTTGTTAAAGTAAGTCAAAAATAAATATGAAAAACCATAGATAATGCATTGGATAGGAATGCATCCAGTGGCTTGTATTGATAAAACATAATCTAACTGTTGTTATGATACATCCCACATTATTAATGTAGACCTGTTTTCTATAAGGATATCCTCTTTTGCAAACATAAATCTACAAACCTAGCTTTGATACCATTGTTAGTCCCATTAAAAAAAAAAATAAATAAATAAAATTGAAATTGATAAAGAACTTACTCGGATCTGTCCTTAAATCACACGAGGGACCTAAAGTTCCACACTAAATCTTATAGACCAAGCCATCCGGTGACAAACAACCTTGAGAGCCCTCTTCGGTAAATCTCATTCACCTCTTTTCTATCCTTCTCCCTGTTTTCTAGAGGGGTTAACCTCATTTTATAGAGAGCACCTTTATTTAATAACTCTCACATTCATGATCTACAAGAATCGAAATCCAAGTGTAACTCCTGCCTTAATTCCCTTAAATACAGCTAATTAGGATTAACAAGTTGTCACTAAACATTGTTACTAGAGGGAAAACCCAGTGTTATAAATATCTTTTATCAAATTATAGAAATGCTTGGATGACATCCTATTATGTGAGTCATTAGTGGACTAATGACAGGTTTAGCTCATTACATAGGATTAAATAAAAGAAACTGCCTTGAGTTTCCTTTAAGGACCACGGCTAATATTAGGTAGTGTTTCAAAATAATTGGTAAGCTCCAATTAGAAAGATCTTTTTTTTCGTAAGTCCTTCATTGCCTTAAATTAAAAATTTTGTTAACATTCTATTTTATCTAAATAGCATGAAATCAATACACTTTGAATATGAAAAGTATTTGGAACGTTTCAATTATAAAGTTTTTATGATAAGTTCTTTATTGCCTTAAATTAGAAATTTGTTCACATTCTATTTTATCTAAATATTTTGAAATCAATGCACTTCGAATATGAAAAGTATTTGGAAGGTTTTAATTGCAAATATTTTATGGTAAATTTTTTATTGCCTTAAATTAGAACATTCTATTTTATCTTAATAGCATGAAACCAATGCAAATCAGTGTGTGGTCCTATTTCAAAACGTAAGTCTCTCTCTTTTTCAAAA